TTTATCCAGCCTGCAGCTTTCTTGACCTTTCCTTTTGTCCTCTTGCAATCATCCATGCTTGGTTGATTCTCTGTTTGCTAGTTTGTCCTGTCCACTTGTCATTTTGCCTTTGAGAAAGATTCTGCTGGGACTGAAACGTTATGCCCTCCATATTTTGAGATTCATGTTGAACAAATTTTCGTTTTCTCAATGTTGATTTTCTACACATTCAGTACCGAATAAACCCATGAATATATGTGTTGTGTCTGTAAAAATCCTTCACATGGTGAGCTCCATCATTCAGGTGCATATAAACTTCATATCAATATGGTTCCACTCTTTTGTTATATGATTCTACATGTAGGTTGTCTACCATATGAATCTACGTTGTTTATAATTACCAGTATGAATTAAACAGTTTTGAAAACAGGACAGTTTCCAGATCAATTGGAAGTTGATATGCACCAAAATGACAAAGCTCGCCATGTGAAAGGTGTTTGCAGATCACATCAAATATACAGGTTTAATTTTTCCTTAGAGGTTTGTCATGTCGTAACCTTGGGTTTGGCCTTTCACTGACCATTTGCTTAACATAACAGTGAGGGCCCTTTAATTCAAGATGGCAAAGGCAATATGGGCCTCGACAATTTCATATACGTATCTTGACAGTGTTGATCATCTTTCAGCGCTCAATCAATGTGTCCCACACATCTCACTCTCTTGTTTAATGCACATTCACACATATCTAAAGATGACCATCTGGCATTGACACGTATCACTGGTTAGGTATCAGTACATGTAGGGTACACAATACATGTACTTTGTGAGATTTCAATACATAGCCAGCACTGAAATCCACCGACTGGTGGAATACGTCTATATGATCTGAGTAAACAGGGCACACATGGAAACACAAATTTCCATCTGATGAAATTTACCGCACGTGACTCACAGAATCTGCAAAAATGATTTAGACACAAATTACAATTTGAAAGTTCAAAACTTGACCATCCATGTATGTTTTTATGGTGGTCAGCAGTCAAAAGGGGGCTTGCTTTTGCCATCAAAGCGGAAAACACGCTGTACATGAAGTACACAGAAGGAAAAATATGGTACATTTATTTATATGCTTAGAGCACTAGAAACTAGTCATATTAAACCCTTGGTATTTGTGTAGGAACTAATCACCATTCTCCCGATTTCTCAAACTCACTAAACTGCTAGGTCAACCAGTTGATCACAAAAGTCAGGTGCATGGCATGTCATGTAAGTGTGAAAAATCATATTTTTCAACCCAGAGGACTAAAGACTGTTAGGGTAAAATAACCACAATGTGTCACTGTGAGAAACACAAGTCACATCAAAATAGCTTGAGGAAAGACAACTACAGACATCACATGACATCCTGTCCACAAGATTGGTCTGGAAGTGTTTACTAAGCAATATTATCTGATCATACAAGGGTAAGGAGTGAATTCCATATAGACACCTAAACAGCTACGACTTACAAGACTGGTCTGAATAAATGTGTTTTCTAAGTAAATACAGAAACAAAGAAACAATTCAATTTATTAATTTGTAACATGAGAGGGAAAAAGTTCCATATACGGACAACACTAATTTTCCCTTAAAATGTTATAACCACCATCAGAAAGGGATAAGTGATACTTGGCTGAGAAAATTCTGAAACATAAACTTAGAAAACAGGTTTTTCAGACAAGTCTCATTGGTTTGTGCACAGGGGCATCAAGTGTTGTCCGTATTAAACTCTTTCCCATGAGACTTAACCTGCATAAAAATGTTAATATCATACTAAAAGTTCCAGAAAGAAGCTTGGTAAAACGATAAGATTAAGAAGAAAATAAAGAAACAATGCAGATGATTCATTCACAACTCGTAATGAAACATGGCAGAATGGTATGGAATAATTTGATTACAGAGTAACAAGCAGTGGTTATGGTGGTAAAACAGTCGACAGTGGTAAGGACTCAGTACATGTTTCAGGGTAAGTGGCGAAAAAACCCATATGGAGTTTTACTGTCAAACATCCCCGACGCGCAAAAGCAGGTGCAACGACGCCACTCGCAAGGGAAGGGCCTGCTAGTGCTAATGTCACCAACTCACCGGTCAATCATCAGCGATGTATCGCCCATCCACGGGATCAGATGTTCCCCGCGATCGATTGCCAAGGCGCGCTCGTCATCACGGAAGAGCTTACACTGGTAGCCAACCACGCAGATCTCCTCCAGCTCCTCCTCGCGGGACTTCTGGGCCTCCATCTTCTTCGTGTCTACCAGATGGGCCCGCTTGGTCTTCATTTTCTTGCTTATTTGCGCCATTTTTATGGCTCCCTTTTCGACTCGTGTTACGTTAGGTTGTTGTCCATTGCGAACATTTTGCATAATAACGTTGGTGTCATCGCGTGGTGGTCTGATACCCTGCAGACGTGCGTTTGTGCACAAGTAAACGAAATTTCTTGTAAATTACAGACGGGTACCCATTGCGCTGTATTCACAAATGCGTTTCACTGACGTGGATTACGGTTGGATGCCATGTCACAGCGGAATACAATGATACGGAACCCGACTGCACGGAAAAATGCCGCGGTCCTTCTAAACGGCGCCCCCACTGCACACAAAAAAGTTTTCCTTGATCTCGAAAAAAAAATCTTTTGACACAAGCCTAATTGATAGTCATTTTGTTTAATAAATCACAGCATTAACTTGATCCCTAATGACGAATTTCACTACTTTCAGAGGCGACTAGCGGAAAGAAAATAATCATTTAGATTTCCTAATTTTAAATTGCTGTAATCCTCCCCAATAGCGCAGAAGGCACAAATAAGAGGCGGGGCATGGAAAAGGAAGGAGGGGGCAAATATCCTTCTAATGAGGGGCGAGGTTTGAAGGTACACCACACCATTAAGAAATGACATGCAGATGTACATTGGAGCAAATATCAAAGCAATTTATTTTCCAAAGATGACATTTCCACCACTTCTTTAGAAACCCTATTTTCTCATTTTTTTTCACTGCATAAGTGAAAATCACACCCTCTTCCTTCGTTTTGGCTCCTGTGCATATTCATTTCCAAAATAGGTCAATTAGTACAAATAAGTAAAATTCCAGTTCTGTAAAACTAGTGGCCTTCCAATTACATGAACATAAAAGTCCAGTTATGTAAAGTTCACTAAAGCCATGAAATAGACTAAACATGCCAGAATTACATTCAGTTATTTGTACTTGGCTATGCAAGGTTGCTCCAGAAAAATGCAGGCGGGGGGGGTTCTCAAGAAGAGCACTGTAATCTTCAAGGAATTTTCCCTCATTTTAACTGCACATTCCCTTTCTCGTTCACATTTCTCAATTTCCTCCAGTAGAAAAAAAATGATCAAGAACATGTGACATAATCCAAATGTCTTCATTTAAAAACAGTCTGTAGCCATTATTGCTCTTCGCTCAAAAAGTCAAAAGAATAACAGTCTGGTGCCCTCTGCCTCCAGTGGAATATAAGTATCTCTTGCCTTCTGGTAACTATATGAAGATGGTTATAGCTTTAATTTAAGAGCCAGCACATGGCAAAATTATGGCAATTTAATATCCCCCCAATTTATGGGTTAACAATTTGGCTGATGATAATGTCCATTTCAAGCTGCTATTTCTGTTGTTGTGGGATGAGGGTGGAAGAGGTTGAAGGTCAATAGGTCAACAACTGAGAAGGGAGGAGCGGAGAACTGATGGCACTTCTGGCATTGATGATGGACGTTTTATCCCTGCAGGTAACCCCTGGGAGAAAATGACAAAACAAGTTGATTGCAATTCATATCTACATTGCTGTTTGTCTGACAATGTTCTTTATCCGCCCCAAGCTGAAGTGCACCCCCAATCGGCAAAAGAAAGACAGGTGGTTACAAGCAGGTTCTTGCACGCATTCTGCATGTACGCAAAGACCATACATGCCGGAATAAACTAGTTACCCTTACTCAGCACGCTTCATGTCGAACGTGTATATACTTGCGAGTCTCATGGCACGTCTATGCAGTGAGTACCAAAAAATGCCCTCTTTTGTTCCCACTCGGAGCGGATCATCTATTGAACACTTTGTTCTCTGACCTAGGTCTGCCTTTTACTAAATCTGCACCTTAACGTCAACAGCTGCATTGCAAAACAGCACACAGAAAAAGAGTCGAGTGAGGAAACGAAGCATCTGGTGACATTCTTCGCTTTGATCAGTTAAATGATCTATCCTGTCCTGCTTGTCCTGAGTACTCACCTATGTTTTAACCATTGGGGTGTCTTTGGGATACCCTGTTTGCCATTTTGGAACTGATTCTTCTGTTAGGCACTTGCATGTGAATGCGTGACACTTATCCACTTAGGCATCCCAATTTTTCAAGACAAGGCAAATATGGACAGCCAATTTTTAAATGCTACCTAAATCTCTGATAAAGGGACTACCCAGAAACGGTCCATTCCAGCTGAGACCACTGGAAACACTTATTTTTCCAAATTAGAGGCACTCCGAGTTGCAACGGAGCATATAGATAGGAACCAAATGTTCAAACTTTCAAGCTGCTGCAAAAGGATGTTCAAAGAAAATTGCGACAGGAGGGACTGGGAGTGGGTTCCACTTACGGTAGTTTCATCCTCATGAAGACCCGGCACATGAAGAAGGAGACGAGGATGCAGACGAAGCTGACAAAGAGGAGGAGAAACCGGTTGAGCTTGGGCATCATGGGGGTGTTGGACTTGTCCAGGATAACGAAGCCCAGGCCTCCAATGGTGAAGAGGAAGCTGGAGGCCAAACCTTCCATGATGTACTGGCCATTGACTCGGTATGGCATGAACGCCACCTAGGTAATTGGGAAGATATTTAACCAACTTTTGCACACCTGCCAACACTGAAAAGTTGGAGATCGAAACACCCATTATTGGCGCCCATAACAAAGCAAGTGGTTTACACAATCTGTCTACATCGATAGATATGTAATACCTTTGTGTAACAACTGCAATTTTCACATAGCAAACAGTGCCCTCTTGTTTTGCAAACAGCACCTTCTTTACAAATAGCGCCCTCTTTTGCAGGGACTTTTTTATTTCTTAAGTTTTTTCCTTTTGACAGAAATTGGAATGTTTTTAGGACTTTAAAAAGTAAAAAATCGGAACAGTTTCGATGAAATCGGAACAGTTGGAGGGTACGTTCTTGCTACCACTTCTATTCTTCATCCCATACAGAAAAATTTAACAACTGGTTTGGCACCAATTTTGGATGGATACAGGCCTGGGCAGCCTCCCTACTTGCACTTTCATCGGGTTTGATGTCCCAGGTTCACTGAGGGAATGTGGCATTGGTTGATCGCAATATTAGACAGGAAGAGGGAGTTTCAGGGAGTTTCCTGACAAAAGTGCACTGGGATTTGGCTCAAGAGTCCACTCATTGTATTTGAAAAACAGGTAAATTGACCAACTATAGTTGGGCCCGTCCCAACTAGAATGCTACAGTTGGGCCGGCCCAACTACAGCAGAGAGGTCCTGTGTGCACGATGTGCCCAGCATGTGCCAAAGTCATATTGTTTACAAATGTCATGTCACTGGTCATAGGGCTAGATGAACAGATGAAGTGCCACATTTTATATGAATTGTGTCAAGCGTGAGACACATTGACTTGGATAATGTTGAGACATTTTCCACAGACATTGGTCAACAATAGTTGGGCCAGCCCAACTGCAGAACAACAGTTGGGACTGTCCCAACTATAGTTGGGACTTATGCTATAGTTGGGACGAAACATTTATAAGCTCTTTGGAGAAACACAATCTGTACATTTGCCACTCAGAGAATATGAACGATAACTACAGATATTTAAAAAAAAAAAGAAATACATCTGTAATTCATACAACTTACAGGTCTTTGGTGGCCATTTTCGTCTGTCGTTGAGCCAACACTTGGCGGCTCCACAATGACATCATAAATAAGACCTGTGCAGTTCAGGAAACAAGTATGATTATCAACCTCCACTCTAGTAACGTCCATCAAGTCCACAGGATGTTTCATTTATTTAATATCATTTGTATCCAACATAGTTATTGAAATACATTGAAATTTGTTGTGGTTTTGAGAACGTTAAAAACTTGATAATTAAAATATATAAATACAAAAAATAATATACGACACTACAAAAATTTACACCAAAATTACAGAAAGTGTGGAGCTGCATTAACTTAACTGCAAAACACATCATCCATAGCATGCATGGGCGTATTTAGTAATTTCAACAGAGCATTAATCATGTTGATGGAATTCGGGATACAAGGCACTTGTGAACAACATTTGACATGGATGATGTTTGAGTTGAGCTGCCTCCACCAGGTAAAATTGTGAGGAAAAAAATGTCGACAAAATTTCGCTATGGCAGGAGGACTTTATTTATACCCTGGATGTTAGTCGCAATGCAATGTTGACGACGTCCACTGGGCTAAAGCAAAGTAATGTCATGCAGACCTAGCCTGCCTTCTCGTAATCTTGTGCTTGTCAATGTCATCAATGTCAGGTTGTGAATGCGAGTTGTTTTTAAAACTCTGATATTAAAACTCACCCCCTGTGACAAGAAAATACGAACTAAGGACGACAAAGTAAACAGTCATTGCTGAAGGTGCGTGTAGCCATGTTGGCCACTTCAGTTTCACGTTTGGACACTCCAAAACTGAAAAAGGAATAGCATACAACTGCTCCATCTTCGCACCTCTTCACAGGATACTGTACTTTCCTCGCAGAAGCGCTTTCCAGGGTTTTACTACCTTGTTCCTAGACGCTCGCTCCACATGTATAAGAATACCACATAAATAGCAGGCGCTCCGCACGTATTTCTATCGCAAGCTACTCCTGGGGACGAGGTGAAATTATTATTTTAGTACGGGGACACGTTTCAAATTTATACATTTATTTCTTTCACAATTTTCGTTATTTGTATCTAATATAAAAATTAATAAAAATATTCATTCTATTACAATATTTAAAAATAATGCGATTTTAATTTTTTGTTACAATTGGTCTTATAACGATAACTTGACGACAAATTTAACTTGTGAAGCGATAAATTAAAGAACAATCCTTGGATTAAAAAGATGGCGACGCTCTATGTGTTAACAGGACGGATGTATGATGAAATTGATGGCGTTTTATTACGCGAAGACGTACCAGAAGATTTTAAAAATGAGCTGAGGGGATATGCAAAGCTAAGAAAGAAGGAAAATCCTGAAGAAGAACCGAGTATACCGTTTTCAACGCTTCGAAAACTGCATAGTTATTTAGGAACAGGTTAACGCTAACTTTTTTGCATTACATTAAACTCTTGAGGGCGTCCTAGCAAAACTACGGTCCCCATATTAAACATACAGCTAGAGACATTGGTTTTTATTGTACAGTATATTATGTTCATGAAAACAAAAATAGGTCATATCATTACTTGTAGTCCATACCCAAACCATTAGCTCATACGAATGAGTATAATTTACCCCATTTATCTGCACCCCCTCCATTTTAGGCCATGAGAATCAATAGAAGTTTTAGATTTGCATCCACTGGTCGCCTGCATATCCTGATGCCAATGCCCCCCGAAATCACCATTCACAGAAATTTCATTATTTGTAAGAAAAAAAGACAAAATAACAAAAATCAGGAGTTCCAAATCTTCTAGAAGCTAAATACCATATATATTTGTGCATTTCATTCATTCTTGCAGTTTGAAGTTCCATTTATTGCAGTCATGGCTGGACAAAGGGGCAACTTTTCATTCACTTTGCACAGGGATTTGCATGCTTTCTTTTTTGCTGCAACATGATTAAAATATCTGAAACTTTTTTGGTACAATGTGGGAGATATTCACAGTGCATAGTTTAATCAAAGGCTAAGAGTTTAGTCAATAATTCAGATTTAATAAATATTTCATAGACTGCAAAACTATTTTTATCCCTTTGAGTTTCAAGTGTGAAATATGGAAAAGCCACCAATTGACCAATCAGAGAAAAGAATTAAGATTGTGATGTGATTCCCTCCCTTTTCAGATTTCTTACCTCACTTCTACAACAGTGCGCGTAATCATCGATCATTATAAGCAGAGAGGTGTTCTGGTACTTCCCCTTTGCTTCACGCCCCTTGTAAATAGACTGTTCAGTGTTTGCATCCAAACTTTAAAGGCTTTCTGCAAGTCTTTAAAATGTACAGATGTTTTATTTCATTCTCAGATGGAAAACCAGGGATGTACCTTCACCAACTGATGCAAGGCACTGAAGTGTTTTTTCCTCCATTACCAAAGCTCGAGAGAGTAAGAACATCAATCAACTTTGGAACTTTTTTTCTGCTGCACAGATCAACTCCCTTTTAAAAGATCACTGTTCCTAACAATATTTCATAAACATCTTGTACTAACACCTGCATTTATTTCCATACTGTAATGTTCTGTTATTTTGATGGTTTAGCTACGGTGGTAGATGAACAGAGAAAGCTTGACAACTTTTCAAATGTTATTTGATGTCGAGCCTTGTCCAGGTTTTTCCTCACTGCTGGCATGTTAGACAATATGAAAAACATCTTTGGGACAAGAACTAACTTACTAAACTACATGTACTCAAAACATTCAAGACCTCTGCAAATCTTTTTGTTGAATGCAGCCAGGGGGGAATCCAGGATTTTTCTACGTGTAGTTGACTCAAGGGAGGAGGGAGTTAAGTTGTAACAAGGTTAAGCAGACATCTTTTTGTTCCTTGTCTTTTCGTTTTTCCTCACATTGTTGGGTTTTTTCTGGTTTGCGTCATTTGATGTGACAGAATCCTGAGTTGGTAGCTCGACTGGAAAGATTGAGAGCAGAGCAAGCAAACAGAGAGTACCAAGAGATGACTAAAAATGTCAGCAATAACGTGAGTTGATCTAAAAAGTCCTAATAGTTCCTCCTTTTGTACTATCACTTAAAAGTTTAGGTGATACAAGCTCACTGTCTATGGGCCTGGATAGGGAGATTACTTCCCCTCTGCTTGGAGGTCTGCCTTTGGTAAAGTTTATTTTTGTTTTCTCTTGTTCAGTTTTTGCTTGGGAAGTGTGCCCCTTTCTTGGTGCAGTTGCAACCCACAGAGGGTCCATGCCCATGGAGATGAGTACTAGTGGCATAGCTAGGATTAGAAGGGGGTACCGGCATCTTATGGGGGGAACCAGCTTTCAATGGTGTGCTTTTTGGGGGGGCGAGTTTTTGGTAGCCTTGTTGAATATCCGTTCATCTGTCTTTTTTTTTTCAAGGGGGGGCACCTGGGGGCACCAGGAATTTGTGGGGGGAGGGGTGCCTCCCAGGCCCCCCGTGGCTATGCCACTGATGGGTACCACTGGGAATACTGTCAAGCCCACCCACCACTTTCATAAAGGTTGGCTCCACCCCTGCCAACCCCAGCCCCCAGTTCATAATCCACTAGGACTGGAGCCCAGTACTGCACAGAGACTTGGAATCTTCCTGCACTAAGAGTACAGAGAATACGCATTGGTTAGATTGTAGGATTCACAGATGTTCCTAGCAAGAGTGCACAGGGCACACATTGTTCATTCTTGTTGGCACTATACCCGTTCAGCTCAATTCTCTGGTCTTTTTTTTCTTATTATTCTTTTCACAGATTGCTGGACGTAGTCCATTAGGACAAGTAGGAAAAGAACGTAAGTGTAAATGCTTTCATTTGTCTGGAAATGTTTCTATTCGAAATGCTAAACTTCTCAGGATTTGAAAACCCTGGGTCATAATCAGTATTTTCATTACTGCAACCTGGAAGTCAAAGCCATGGCATATAAAACCCTCGTCAGACCACAGTTAGAACACTGTTCAACCGTCAGGGATCCACATCAGCAAATCTACATCGACACCCTGGAATCTGTCCAAAATGGAGCTGCCAGATTTGTGTAAAGGGATTTCAGTAGAAATAGTAGTGTTTCGTCAGTGGCTAATGATCTTGCATGGAAACAATTGGAGGGAGAAGGCCTAGTGCCCGTCTGATCCTCCCGTATAAAGCACACCATCAACTTGCAACCATTGACGTCAACAAGTTCTACATCAATTCTAGCTAAAGAAGACGCACTGGACGAAACACCTGCCAATCCTTTTCACGCCCCCAAACAAATAAGGCCTGCTACAACTTCTCCTTCCTACCTAGAACCATAGCTCAATGGAACACTCTCCCAGTAGACTTTAGGACCTTGCCAACCTTGAGCGACTTTAAAACTAAAATCAATCATAGCAACCTCATCACACTCTAAAGGAACTCTTAACTAAACTGCTGCATTAATGACGTCTGCGCACTGTGCGGGATATCCTGCAAAGGAGATTGCACAGTATAACAGAGATCCAGAATCAAGTGATTAAAGTCCAAGTACAAGTCTCTAGTCACTTTAAGTCACTCTGCTTGTATTACGGTCACTTGTCTTGCATGTGGAATAAGAGAAAAGACGGTAAAGCAGCATGTCATATTCTAACATTTAGCCACACTGTTCTTCATTCCATAATCCTTTTGTTGTGACCTCAGATCTTTGTCTTCTTTCCATTGGTCTGCTCCTTTTCTCCCTGAAACAATTTTCTTTTTTCAGTTTGTTGTGTTGGAAGCCTGTTCAAAACCTGCGCACTTATTGCTTGTAATTTATCTTCTCCAGTGAAGAGTGTCCAGACGCAGCTGATGGGCGTCTTCAACGTTTTCCTGACCATTGCTGGAGCATTTGTGTTTGGTTTCATGGCTATGTACTATGCAGGCCAATCAGTCACAGCGGTAAGCCTAAACTGGAAATTTATTTCTTGTCAAGTTTTAATTTGATTTCTTTGGAATTTCAGGCTGCTTTGTTCTCAGAGGTTTGCTTTAGAATCAGTAGCAAATAAGATTTTGTTGTTGTTGTTGGTTGTTTTGTTTGTTGTTGTTGTTGTTTGTTGTTTTGTTTGTTGTTGCTGTTGTTTGTTGTTAGGGTCTTGAGCTTAGTGAATTTAATGTACTGTAATATGACATCAACAAGGACCAATATTACAGTTAAATGAAGTGAAGACCCCCCCCCCCGGTGGATTTTATTTCTTGCGTTCAAATTCTGCTCCTAATACTGAATATTAATGAAAAGACAGTTTCAGGAAAATGATGGACTTCATTTCAGTCCCAGTTGAACAATTTTGGTTTTCTTCTCCAGCGTGTTTTGTGCGGGCTGGCGTTCGCACTGATTGTAGCAGCAGCCGACCTGTATTTCCTCATCAAGAACGATCTATGACCAGGGCCATGTCAGAGGGCACCACTGTCTCCTGCCAACTGTACCTTCCATTGGCTCCGCACCTGAAGTGATTTCCCTAGCCTTACGTAGATCTACAAAATTTACTTCACTGTGCTTCAGTACGGTGGCTCGTGTTCTGTCGTACATGATGCTTGAAGTTTTCCACTCTATTGTTTACCTCTGGAACTGTTGTTGGTACCATTGCAGTGCCCTCATACAACTTCCTTGATCATTGTTGATGGGTGTCAACACCCTCCTGGTCATATGCATGCACCCACTGAATCAGCTCGAGTGCCCTCAAGATTAAGCAGCCAAGTTGGAAGTGAAACGTCCCTGTTCTATTCTTTTTATATTCTTGAAGAGTATTTATAGGTCGGAGTTGAAATCTTTGTTGTTAAATCTAAAATGGTTACTAGTGGAAATTTGCAGTTGACAATGACATATTTATAGGACTAGATTGGTTAAATGTCAATGTCGACGCAGAACTGTGGGAATGGAGCAGAATTCTTGCCACAAATGCAGTTTTGGAATATTTAATCCTATTAAAGTACTGCGATTCTTTTTATTGGCTATCCTTCGTGCAGTCATTATTTCCAGTTTAAATGCAGGGATCCGTTTCAGAAGTGCATCAAACTGTGCTCCTCCAAATGTAAACGTTATCCCGAACATTTCCTGGTGGTTTCTAAATTTTACCCCCCAAAAATTTACAGTTCATCTAATTGCATATTTTTGGCATAAGATCATGAATCAAATGGATTGTATGTTGAGAAGTAGTGCAGGGGCCAGTTTCCATTGCTGTGTTACGAAAGGGAGTTATTTTTGTCTGACATAGAAGTCTGCATTTGAACGTGGGTCAAAAATAGTTGTAACTTTGGAAGAGCAAATTTGCACAGAGATGACAAAATAAAGATGGAAATATTTTTGATAGTGTATTTGCATTTGTTTTATTGGTTTCTTTTGTAAGACCCTCACATCACTCATATTATCTCAATTCTTGCATACATTAGGAAAGTGTGAATTTTTAAGTTATATTGGATATCAGTGACTTTGGGCTCACCGTTCTCCTCATATACATGCCCTCTTTGTTAGAAAATATACTACACTGCAGTGCAGCAGTCAAGTCCTTTCACGGGGTTCCAAAGTAGTTTGAAATATAAGATGAAATGGCAGGAATCAGGCTGACGTACCAAGGCAGCGTTGGCTGAGTTGCTTAAATGAGAGGGGAATACAGGTGTTTTGGCACTAACATGACATGGGTAAGCAGGAAATAAACAGATACAGCCGAACACAGATAAGACTGGTACTCTTGATACAACACCATGTTTATAACAAGGACAATTTTAAGTCCCAAGTCTCTGTTTTTCCATTAATGATAAAACAAGGTAAGTCTTATTGCAAAGCACTATTTGTAAAGGACCTTAATTCCTTGTTATAACAGAGTTCCGCTGCACGTGCAGAAAGACGTGTCACTGATATCAGAGTCTTTGAACACCTCTGGCACACCCTTTATACAAACACTCCTATTCAATCTCATGATACAAAGTACCAGAAAACACAGTTGGTTTTTACCAGCCGGATTCCTGCCGTACCACCACATTATTTTGATATTTTTTTGGACTCGAGGGGGGGGGAAGACTTGACTACTACACTGCTTCAGAGAGTTCAAGCCCCCCACCAAGATTCCTAGAAACCATTGGGTCTAATCAAACAGCACCAATGAATAACATCTCGTTTCTCATGCATCATCCTACGAAAGAGGCCGAACACTGCACGGTGTCTTCACAGTTAATTTACCATTTGCATTTGAAATCATATTTACGGAGTAATCAATATTACCCGGAGTAATCAATATTACCCGGAGTAATCAATATTACCCGGAGTAATCAATATTACCCGGAGTAATCAATATTACCCGGAGTAATCAATATCGCCCGGATCCTCAGCCCGCTTTTCAGCTATTATTCTCGGCCCACGCTCAAGCGAACACGGTGAAAGAAGGCAGACCCTGGCTCTTGTATATATGGTAATTGGTCTTCATGCGTAGCCCAGAAATGAAAAGACGGATTTTGCATCATAATCACCAGCTTCACAATAGTCCCCATTTTGAAAAGAGGCAACGGGAATGTGGAAGGGTGAGTTGAGCCTCATGCCACCAAACAATCAGCCTTTTCACCGTGTAATTCAAAGAGGGCAGGGCCACAAACCGAGAATTTGCGGTTTGGCAGGTGGCCTTCGTGGCCAAGCCAGGCTGGAATTCTTGGAATCGGCTTTCGGGAAGAAATTCCCGTCATCAAGGGGTTAACAGAAAAAAATGTAGTTCCTGTATGCATGTAAGCTATGCACATTTTCATCAGTGTTTACAAGTTCTTATGATTAGTGAAGCTTTTGGAAACAAAAATAACTTTCTTGTTAACTACTTCTATGTTTCTTTAAGCTGTGTTGATTTCAAACAGAAAGGAAAAAGAAGAGCGTGTATAATGTCATTGAGTAAAACAGTCATATAAGGATTGTTATTTTGAGATACATCTCAGAAATTAAAATATCCCCAACAACACATCTTGTGATGCTGTGGCTTTATAACCAAAGGTTGTATCAATGCAGGGTTTTCACAGCAAGGAAGTGAAAGACTTCATTTTGCTGTCAATTAATAATCCTAACTACCCCAAACCTGCCATACTCCAACAGTAGGTTTTGTGAGGTTTTGGCAGGTTTGGTACCGTACCTGATGAACTTGTTGAATTTTGTTAGACTCAAGATGAAAGGTTGTAAGAATTGTTCACCATGTGGAGAATTGTCAACATTTAAGGGCCAACAAAATCTGGTTGGGACAATCCTCTTGTGCAATATGAGAATGATTCTCAGCCGAAGTAGAAAATGAAATGTTAAATTCGGTCAATTTAAGTTTTTCCTGTAAGCAAAACTTGTTATCCACCACAATCTGCTTGCGAGAACCCAATTAATGTTCTGCAACTAAAGTTACGTCCAATAAAATGGTTTGAATCAGCTTGAATTCAATTAAGTGCTTTGAACCATGTAAGCGAAACCTTTCAGAAAGGTTTGGGAACACAAAGCAAAGAATTTATTACATTTTCAGAGAGGATGCAGCTTGAATTGCGGTTATGATCCAAAATATAGGAGGAACTGAAAAGACCTTACAAATTGGGAATATCAGCAAAAAATTCAGTTCAGTTCAGAGCAGAACTAACACCAAAAAAGGCAACTTTTTACAAGCTTCAACATCTCTTGAAAACAACTACTGATGGGCAACAGATACTGAACTTTGAAAAGCAACAGTCGCTGTTCAAAAAAAAATAAAAAATTTTACATGATGGTATTTGGTCGTGAAGAGACATTCGTGAAAACCAAGAAAGCAGACAAAAGTTCCTGTCAATACACCCCAATGCCTACTCCCAAAATAGTTTAACTCAAACATAGTCTTGAGTACCTATACATGTGGTTGTCATGGAAATGTTCTTGGAATCTTGAAGAAAAATATTGCATATACATGTGTATGTACACTTTTTCAAAATTTTTCCACATACTTTGTTCATTTTGAAAAATTCTTATTCAAGTACTTGCCTTCACAGAAATGGCTCTACACAGCAAGTTCTTGATTGCTGTGTCACTTCCTTCTGATTTCATCCTCAAGGCCTAGTTTGGCCTCGCAATCTACTGTCTGCATTCCTGACTCACTGAGGACGCCTTCCATGAAATTTTAAGGTGCATACACACACACAGAGGTGAACTGTGCTTCACTGGGTTATCGTTACGATATCGTGTTACATCTTCAAATGATCGGGAACTGATGAAATTGGAGAGTACTGAAGATGTAAATTTACGTCGACAGAAGTGCATTAGCTTCTGCCTGTGCCCTCGGACTGCGACTCGACAGCGCCCCAGAGTGGTTTAAAAGTATGACTGCCCGTTATAAGCTGTAGAGTTGGCAGATTTTCAAAATGACTGTTAAAAAAAAAGGTTTGCAGGAGTTTATCCAAAAAATCCATGGGGGCTGGAGTGGTCCTCTTGCTTGCTCTCCAGGGTAAAGGGAGGAATCCGACAGTCAAATGTTTGGCCGTTACTCTTCTCTATTCTGAAAGTTCCCCTACAGATGAAGAAGTTCAAACCAAACAGTTTGTCAAGGTGACATCTCAGAGCGCTGGCCAGAATCAACTCACACAGTCACAAAAAAGTACAAAAACTGATCTACAGCAATTCACTGAAAAAGAGGTTTTTGTCTAACTTGTTTTCCTCTGTTAAAGTCAAATTTATTTCCATGCTATCTCTGTGAAGTGTGTGAATTTGTTTCTACATTTGGCTGTTTCAACAAAGCAGCCTGAAAATAATCTGGTATTATGTCTCATCAAATCATTTAATTGAACTGTTTTATTTTGTCTTTTTCGTTTCTATAAAAATACTTTTGGTCCCCTCCTTGCATCTCTTAATCGGGTAAAATCAACTGGAAAGACCAATCTGACGAGCCACTCCTGATCAAATGTTTCTATGCAACCTTATCAGCATGCAAGCACTGTCCAGAAAAAGAAAGAAAGAAAAAAACATTTTTTAGAAAAAAAAACAGAAAAATTTAGGGGGGGAAAAATGATGGCTTCGTTCATGGCCTTTACTTACCACATGTGACCACTAGGCGCTTGGAGGGATACATGACTGCTGTATTGGAAGGCTGGCTGCTCCTTGGACAAAATAGGCTCCTGAAATGTACCCAAAAAAAACAAACAAGGAATCTAACTTTAAATGCGCAAGCTGTTCGATAGAAAAACAGTTTAAGAGACCAACAGTGGGAAGAATTGATAGCCTAGCAGAGTGCTGGAGGAGGACAGATATCACTACTTTTGGTCATTTTGCAGCCAGATATATAAAGCCTGGTTCGTACTTCATGTGAAAGCAAAGCAAACTTGACATCGCAAAACATTTGCGGTGAGATTTGCTGGAGTTCAAATGTGTCTGACTTTTGCAAATTCACAGCATGAATATTGGACCCGCTGTAATAATTTCACGGTCCTGTTTGCTTTCCAACCGAGTAGGAACTGGCCTTAAGAGGTTTGAGACAAACAATTCTGTGGGTTAGGCCTGCATGTAAACTAGAGGGGCAACACTTTGTCTTACATCTCACTGGTTCCCACCTGCTCGTCATTCATTTCCAACTCCAAATTGGCATGTACCAATGAAAAATCCTGCTGTTAACAGCACTTCACTAATGATGGGAACACTTGCACCATTTGCCAAACCTCAGCCTCATGACTTTGTCTCCAGCCAGACCAGACCAAACACTTCAATGGCTGCACAGATAATCACTGATCAGCGGAGATACTCTCAACTTAAGCCACAAATTTAAGGACTGGATGTCCCTGAAGTAGTCCCCGAGCCTATGAGTCAGGAAGCCAATGCTAGTGACAAAATCAAAGTACAGTGCACTGTGTCCCACGTACATGCCCCGATACAGGGCTTCTGATAGATGCCGCAGTGCCCACTGACCTGTCCCACTACTCCTCTCCCCCGCACGGTCTCCAGCGTGCCTGACAGGCTGAAGATTCTCCAGTGGCGTTCCCTCAGCTGGACCGTCTCCTCTCCGAGGTTCTCAAGACGTATGCAGTACCTCCACTGAAAATGCCACCAGAAAAAAAACCAAAAAAAATCAACAACTGAAGCTTTTGTGATACGAGGATCATATATGACTGGATTCCACAAGATGAGCTCTAAATATGATTGATTTATCATCATATGCAACAGAAAGACCCTTTTAAGTTCCTCATTTTGATATACCAATCGGTGTGGTGCACAAGTGAATACAGACACGGGTGGGAATGTGGTCCATTCCTGAATTTCCCTAGCACAAGACTTTCGTTTTGAGACCTGCAACTCACAAGCCAAACAACTTTTAACACCCATTGTGTTATGTTGGGTAAAACAGTATACAGTTGTCTCTCATTATAACAAACTTGCAGGGGCCAGATAAATCACTTTGTTATAACCAGGACTTAGTTATAAGAGGATTGGAAAAAGAAAGAAAAACATAAGAATTCAAGAAAGGATTCCCAGAATTTATTCTTTACAACAGTATTTTGTAATAACAGTGTTCTTTGTAACGAGAATCGACTGTAAATCTTGCAGCTGGCTGCAGTCGTCAAGATGGCTGATCCACAAGGTTTTCGATTTTTCTCTCGGGAGGGCTTCTTGGATTTTTTGGGGGGGGGATTCTTTGGCATGGGGGAATGGGACTGAATTTCATTCAGCAACATGGGTGTTGGGGCAAATCCAGTAAGTGAAAAAAATGAAGAAAAACTAAATAAAGTTGGAGACTTCCTGCTTTAAAAACAAGATTAAGACACCCAGAGGAACTTACCCAATACACGCTGGAGTCCTGTGAGACCTGCAAAAGTCAAATAATGTTCAAGAATAAAAAATAAATGTACATGAACATAACGAAAAACTAAAATAAGTAAATAATTTTACAAATAGATGCTGGTGTGAAACATGATTTCCACAATATCTGGTGTAGTGCCTTAAATTTGTAAAGACACGTACAGCACGTCTAAGCAAAAAACTGCACGTCTACACAAATCTACCAATTCCAGGAAAGAAAACCTAAAAAAAAAAATTTGCAGAAACTTTGGATGTGCGACACAAAAGAGAGTGTAGTCGGACCCACCCTTGCGCCCATGTAGAACGGGATGACAGTGACTCGGACGTTTTCTGTGGTCTCCCTATGTACGTCGGAGAGCTCCAGCCAGGGATGGTTCTTCTCCTGCCAGGCCTTTAGTGTGTCCTTGGGCACAAAGGTGTCTGCTCGGGGGGGATGTGCAGAGGAAGGACGGGGGACAGGTAAAAAAACAAAAACAACTGTTTGCACATTGACTGCTCTAGCAGCAAAGGCGCTGCGCTTGAATGTATCTGCGTTGCGGGAATGCTTCTGGAGAAATCATTGCAAGAAGTCACAACTGTTGTGATGTACCTCTTCCACAGTTGCGGATGAAGTTGAGAAATTAATACAGTAGTGGGTAAACATCGCACATCTTGGTTGAAGAGGTTCTGCATGGCAACCATCTTTCCGGTAACTACTTTTGTCGCGGAGGGATAGTACAAAAGGTCTACTCATGTGTACCCCTGTGGAACAAAAGCTCATACCGGAAAAATGGCTGCCATGCAGAACCACTAAACCCAAAATAAAGACTCTGCAGTAATAACGCACCACGCATCTGCAATCTGAAGTGTTTGGGCTGGGGGGTGGGATATTTCAATTTACTAGGGATTTTCACCATGATGGCTTAACTAAACCAGGCAGACTAAAAACTGCAAATGCCAAACCCAAACCGACCCAACTGAACTGAATGGAAAAACTGACAAAAACTCAGTCTGTTTTGGGTCGCAATACTCTTTGAGGTCAGGTTTTGCACAACACTAGTATATACTTGTAGCTTCCCAGCACAAAGGTCCAAGGAGCTGCTGTGGGCTCACCTTGTCCTGGGCTACGCTCAAGGAACTTATCAAACAGCTCGTGCTGGATGGGGTTTTTCTCTGTCGTTGAATAAGGCAGGATATCCTCATGAGCGACATAGTCAAGACCTGAGGGAGACAAGATGCGGGGTTACAAATGGCAAAGAAGTATTTCACAATCATGACCAGGACAGAAATAAATCACATCTTAAGGAGAGGCGTGATTATCAATTCGGGTTTTGAGCAAAGTGGAACTTGCATTCCAGGCGTTCATTCTGTTTGATTGGAAAGTACATAAAGTCAAGTGTATTCAATTTTTAAAACTTATTTTAATTATGGGTTAGTTGTCTTTTCCTTCCTCCATGGTTGTGTCAACTTTGATGCCAAAACAAAAAACAATTAAGGTCTGGTTACCATAAACACACAATTACATTTGTTATAAGCAGTTTAATGGTGGGAGTGCACCAATCTGTCTCATCTAAAACCTACAGGTAAATAACGCAGACCTTTAACCCTAACCTTCCTAACCTCACAGAATTAAACAGTAGTAAAGTGTTTCATTCTGTGGGGATAGGTCTGGTAGGCCCAAGACAGCTGGCTTTTGCATTGGGTTTGGCATACCTCAGAAAAAC